GTTTTTCTTATCATTTTGTGGGAAGGGACAGGGTAGGAATTTATCTATTCTAAAATATTAGTTAATGGAAGTGTGTATCTGTAGACTTATAAAAAATACATGTGTTTTTTTTTTAATCACAAAAGAACTAAGGGAGAACTCAAAAGGGTAGAACTGCCTTTAAAGCAACTAATTGGTGGTAAGAATGAAAGAAGGAGAAATGAGGTAGAGTCTAAATTCTGGGCATAAATGGACCAGGATTAGAATTTTTGTTCTGCTTCTAAATAAGTAAAAGACACTTATTTACTTTCTAAGACTGCTCTTAAGAATGATATAAAAGAGCCTAATCATAGAGTTTGGCACATGGGGAATAATGAGATGGTAATTATCTTTATTATTCTCTTTGATTCTGCCTTATTTGATTAAACACAATTGGGATACCTTTATAAGGAATAGCCTCACAAACTACCATTGGGCATGTAAAAAAGTTACATCCAAAATTGTCCCTGGCTGACTACAACACTCAATTATCAGATGGTGAAATTACAGACAGTATGTTTAAATCCAATTCTCACCAGGTAACAGGTATTTAAAGAATTACAAAGTGAAAAGAAACTGGTTATTAACTTTAAGGGAGTATTTACACTTAGCTGCTTACTATGTGTCAGGTAAATTTCATTGTACATTATTACCTTACAGTTTCCATTTTACACAGAGGAAACAAGTTCAGAGCTTAAACAACTTCCCAAGTTGCACAAAAACTTGATGAAGTCAATATCTGAAGTGAAATTTTATGTGTTTACTCCATTAGTAAGCAGCGTCCCTCCCAAAAACCCTGTTATCCTGGGTTGACCAACAATCAGGAAGAGCAACAATGGAGTAAGGAGAATACTTTTATATATTATGTCTTCTTGGCAGTGTACCACCAGTTCAAGGTCATGAACTACGTCCAATTAGCCAGTACTTGAGGGATTTCCCAGGATGAAAGGGGGTTTTTTTGTGGTACAGAGATACACTGTCGACTTTCAATCAAAACATACTGAAGTCTTCTGCTTCCTCTAATTATATCTACTTACACATTGAGACCCATCCCCATCTTACCTGGTGCTTTAACTAGCAATTCCTCAGACTCAAGGGCAGGCCGGGGAGAGACTTCTGGAACCACAGGCACAGACAAGGTCAGCTGTGGCAACTCAGCATGTCCACCTCCAAGTTCTGACTGAGCCAAGGGCCCTTCCAAAAATGGAGCCTCCCTTTCAAGAACTGGAGGCTCTTCTTTGGTTGAAATCAAAGAATTCTCTTCCACCTGCTTGTTCTGAGCACTAGATCGACATCGGGCTAAAAGGCTTTCCTCTTCACAGCG